TACAACGTCCTGATAAATATGGATTCATTGATTGAGTTAGAAAGGAAGAGCACAGAAAGAAAAGACCTGAAATGGTGGCATTGGTACCATAGAGTATCTATTCTAGAGCCAAAGGAAACCAAAAAAAAAAAACATGCCTGAATAAGCTATCACCTCTCAGTTACTTATGGCATAGGGAGAAAGGGAGAATATGGTTAAAGAAAATGCAGATAAAAATTGAAACGCTAATTTCACCTGGTAGTTTCAATTTGCCTTAACCATCTAAGTACATTTTTCAAAGCTTAAAGTGATTTTGTCAGGTTCACGGAATTGCAATCTTTAATGCCTCACATTCATGTCCAGATGATAAATGATGACCTACATTTCCAACACCCCATTAGCCAATGTTCTTAAATCACTTGAGCAATATTAGCCCTCACAAACTTTAAGAATACCAAGTATTATTACCCTCCTTAGTTTGTGGAGGAGAGAAAAATAGAGGTTTATATACATAAGTGAAATCAGTTGTCCAAGAATATACTGTGTATATTAGGGCTAACTTAAAACATATATCCCCTGATTCTGCTCAGATACGTGATATTACACCCATCTTACTTTCTACCCAAAGTTACTGGTTCCTAGACTAGGAAGTGCTATAATTTTAGAAACTTCTAAAGGAATGCAAATTCTTTTTGGCCAAATATGACTCACAATACAAACACAGGAATAATTGTTTACTTCTGTAAATTCTAAGATAGTGCAGAAATGTAATTACCTTAGGGCCAGACTAGAATAACAGTAAAATAAAAACGGAAGAGAAGATGTTTTTATAGAAATTAAGTTATGGGAGAGTAAGATATATATCCAGAAAGCAGGTTTCTGCCTTTCAGAGGAGAATATTTTCTTAAAGTTTGTGAAAGGGTGCAAGGGGCAAGGGTTGGATTGGTTCTCAGATCACTGAGGGGATTGGCAGGAGACTAGAGTATGGAACCACTGGGATGCTGGAGTTCATCCACATGGGCTTGGGAGAGCCAGTTATTATACTGGGATTACAGGTGTGAGCCAGGGTGCCTGACCTAAAATTGTGTTTTTTACAAAGTAATAAATGCTCAAAATTTATCACTCCCTAATTATTTAACTACATTTTTTACTATTATCTGTGCCTTTGAGGTTATTTATGTCTATTTGTATTAATGGTAGGAATGCTAAAAATGGCATGCAACTATGCAGTTCTTTGTAACTCTACTTTTGGTAACTTCATGTTGAAACTTAAATTTGATAATGGTGGGAGTATTTACATGAGGGAAATTGGCAAGCAGCATAGCTTGATTTATTGTTTTGTTGATTATCTAAATCAGGATTCAGTGAACGAGGGCATGCTTGCTATCTGTTGTAAGTAAAGTTTCCCTGGAACACAGCCACATCCATTTACTTATGTACTGTTTGTGACTAGTTTTATGCTACCATGGCAGAGTAGTTTTGACAGAGATGTTAGACCCAGAAAACCTAAAATATTCACTGTTTGACCATTATAGAAAACATTTCCATACCCTTCATCTAGACTTTAAAAAGTGATGAGTAAAGTGTTAAAAATGCAAATTAAACTTAAAAGCATGTTTTATTAGTAGCTATTACATTGTGAAGAGCACACAAAACTGAGGAAATACTTTTTTTCAATATTGGAAAACTGTTATCTGATTCAGTAATCACTCACAGTATTGACTATTATGTTTGAACTTAAGTATGCTGAACCAAAAAAGGGTTTTAATTTAATGAATATAATCTGTATGAGGGTGGAAGATAGCTTAATAATAGATCACATGTCAGACTTAATGACAAAAATAAAAAGATCAGGCAGGCATGGTGGTGCATGCCTGTAGTCCCAGCTACTCGTAGGAGGGGGGAATTTGTAGGGGGAGATAGGAGGATCGCTTGATTCCAGGAGGTGGAGGCTGCAGTGAGCCATGATTGTGCCACTGTACTCCAGCCTGGGTGACAGAATGAGACCCTATTTCTAAAAAAAAACAAAAACAAAAACAAAAAAGCAGGCAGAAAATAGGTGTTTCCAAGGATATGAGGACATGGAAAAGTTGGAACTCTTGTGCACTGTTGGTAGGAATGGGAAATGGTGTAGCTACTATGGGAAGCAGTGTGGTGATTCCATAATTTAAAAAAAATTAAAAATATAACTACTGTATGATCCAGCAATCCCTCTTTTGGGTAAATATCCAAAGGATTGAAAACAGAGTCTTGAGGAGATATTTGTGCACCCATGTTCATACCAGTATTATTCATGATAGCCAAGAGGTAAGTATCTTTCAACAGATGAATGGATAAACAAATGTGGTATTTATACACCATGGAATATTATCCAGCCTTAAAAAGGAAGGAAGTCTTGTGACATGCTACAACTTGGATGATCTTGAGGACATTATGCTAAGTGAAACAAGCCAGTCGCAAAAAGACAAATACTCTTTTTCACTTATATGAAGTGTCTAGAGTAGTCAGATTCATAGAAACAGAAAGTAAAGTGATGATTGCCAGGGGCTGAGGGGAGAAGAGAGTAAATTGTCATTTAATGGGTTCAGAGTTTAGTTTTGTAAGATGAAAGATTCTACAGATTGGGTACACAGCAGTGTGAATACACTTAATACTACTACTGAACTATACATTTAAGAGGTGTTAAGATGGCAGGTTTTATGCCGTTATTTGTTTTGTTTTGTTTTGTTTTTTGTTTTTTTGAGTCAGAGTGTCACTCTGTCACCCAGGCTGGAGTGCAGTGGTGTGATCTCGGCTCACTGCAACCTCTGCCTGCTGGGTTCAAGCGATTCTCCTGCCTCAGCCTCCCAAGCAACTGGGATCACAGGTGCCTGCCACTGCGCCCGGCTAATTTTTGTATTTTTAGTAGAGATGGGGTTTCACCATGTTGGCCAGGCAGGTCTTGATCTCCTGACCTCATGATCCCCCCATGTCGGCCTCCCAAAGTGTTGGGATTACAGGCATGAGCCATAGTGCACAGCCTGTTACGCCTATTTTACCGCAATTTTTAAAAAAGAGTTAGTGGATTGAGATACAACTCTGTTTGTCAAATTATAGTTAATTGCAATCATAGATTGGCTATGGATATAGGAATTGAGCAAAAATCAACTAAAGCATTCTGTGAGAATCAGTTGGAATTTATAATAAAGTATATTGTATATTTTATTATCATTAGTAAACTGTGTGCTACATATCCTTTATATTAGTAAAGTTTAGAATAAACTTACATATGTAACATATATAATATAGTATATTCTATATATAATATATATACACATACATACACACATATTCCCAATGAAGAGCTGGTTGTTAATATTTACCAGCACACCACTGTCAGGATTGGGCTTTCTTTTTTTTTTTTTTTTTTTTTTTATTATTATACTTTAAGTTCTAGGGTACATGTGCATAACGTGCAGGTTTGTTACATATGTATACTTGTGCCATGTTGCTGTGCTGCACCCATCAACTCGTCAGCACCCATCAACTCGTCATTTACATCAGGTATAACTCCCAATGCCATCCCTCCCCCCCCCCCCCCCCCCATGATAGGCCCCGGTGTGTGATGTTCCCCTTCCCGAGTCCAAGGAACTGAACAAGGATTGGGCTTTCATCCAGGGACTGAGATCCGCTCTGGTGGAAGGATCCCAGGTGGCCTGGGTTCGGGTTCCCAGGTTCTATTTCTGACTCCTCCACTTAACTATCTGGACGACTCTGGGCAACTTGCTTAGTTAGACTCAAGTGTTAGTTTCCTCATCTGTTAAATGAGAGCCAGATTGAGTAGTCTATAAGATTTTCTGCTATTAAAATCTATGACCAGCCAGGCGTGGTGGCTCACTCCTGTAATCCCAGCACGTTGGGAGGACAAGGCAGGCAGTCACGAGGTCAGGGATTTGAGACCAGCTTGAACAACATGGTGAAACCCCATCTCTACTAAAAATACAAAAATTATCCAGGAGTGCACCTGTAATCCCAGCTACCCAGGAGGCTGAGACGGGAGAATCGCTTGAACCCGAGAGGTGGAGGTTGCAATGAGCCGAGATCGTACTACTGCACTCCAGCCTGGGCGACAGAGATAGACTAACTCTGTCTCAAAAAAAACAAACCAAAAAAAAAAACAAAAAAAACTATGACTATAACATTGTAAATTCCGTGATGAAATTAGGGGCTGTTTTTTGTCTTTGCATTTACATAAGCACTTAGCATAGTTCTTTGCACACTCAATATCTGTCAAATTAAGTTGAATAGAATTTTTCTCAAAATGTTGGTGGATTCTTAAATATAATAATAGCTAATATTTCCTATCTTACTATGTACCAGCTGCTTTATCTCATGTAATTCTTTTAATTCTATGTAGTAGGTACAGTTATTGGTTCCACTTATACAAAGTAATGAGATTTTCTGAGATGTCACAGCTAATAAACGGCAAACTGAGATTCCAACTTGGATCTATCTCACTTCACAGAAACCCTCTTAACCACTATGCTACACTACTTTTTATCCAGAATTAAGGTCTTCCCTGAAATGCTAATCATGGAGTAGCCTTCTGCAATGCCAGACAGTGAAATGACAAATAATTCTTTACATCTATTCATTGCAACCCTAGAGATACTATCATCTGTGTCTCAAATTTAGTTTACAGCAGGATCATCTGCAGTTCTGAAATGCATATTCCTGGGCCCTGCCCCCAGACCTATTCAGTCAGAATCTCTAGGGGTAGTGCCACAAATCCACATTTTTATTTTTATTTTTGTTTTGTTTTGTTTTTATTTTTTGAGACAGAGTCTCACTCTGTTGCCCAGGCTGGAGTGCAGTGGTGTGATCTCGGCTCACTGCAACCTTCATCTCCCAGGTTCAAGCAATTCTCCTGCCTCAGCCTCCCAGGTACCTGGAATTACAGGTGTATACCACCACACCCGGCTAATTTTTTTGTATTTTTAGTAGAGATGGGATTTCACCATGTTGGCCATGCTGGCCAACAACCGACTCCTAAGGTGATCTGCCCAACTCGGCCTCCCAAAGTGCTGGGATTACAGGTGTGAGCCACCACACCTGGCCAAGAAGCTACATTTTTATCTGAACTACGATCTTGATATGGGAAACGCTAGACCACATTTAAGGGAAGCACCAGCCAAGAGCAGGGACTTTCAAACACTTTTAACCACAACCTAGAGTTAAGAAAACATTTTGTATTGTGACCCGCCATTCATATACCTATGCCCACAAAAATGTGAACTTTCTGATATTTTCCAACTCTGTTCCATTCCATCGTACTTTTTAAAACTAATGGTCAAGTTTCATAAATTGATTTTATTCCCCACTAGTGGGTCACAATTTGCAGTTTATAAAATACTGACTTAGAAAGGTTATATTTGTACCACATGCCTTCTTTTTTCCTGATTTAAGAGTCTGCACATTAGCGAGACAGAAAGTCAGCTGTCATTCCTGTATACCTCAGTTAGCTCACCTGATTATTCCCGGCAAGGCTGGATTTACTCCTTATCTTCTCTTCCCGGAAAGAAAAGGATGAAGTTTTTTCCCTTGAAAGGGTTTTTGAAAGTGTCATTTAGTGATTTCCATTAGTCCCACCACTCCATTGATAAGGGTTATGGCAGCTCTGTGTCCCATTAGTGAGCTCTTTCCCCTTCAGCTCTGTGGGACAGGCTGCAGGGCCCACATCTGCATGAGCATCTCTTACCTGGCACAGCACAAAATTTATTTAGCATTTGGCCTAGGGTTTGTCCCACTGTTCTAGAGTTTGCTACCATTACTGTTGTAGGTATGAATCATTTTTCAAGTGTAAGCTTGTGACTTCTTTTTTCCTGCTGAAATTATTGATCAAGGGGATTTCTGAATGATTTTGTGTTGGATTTAGCTAAAAAGAGTTTTATTTTCCTCCTGCTGCTGAAATAATCTCACATACCGTCATCTTAGCAAGTCCTTTAGATTTCATTTGGGAATTAAGATATGAAAGCTCTTTCCAGGGTTATTTTTATGGGATGAGTATGTAAGCTGAAAATAGGAAATATAGTTTGGTTATGGGGAGCTACATTTGGAATGATCAAGCACAAATTCCTAATTTATTTTATGTTAGCAAGAGAAGGCCGTCTTTGTTTTTCTTCCTTTCCTCTCCTTTTATTATTTTCTTTTTTTTCCATTTATTCAGCTACCTATATGATACATATTTATCGGAGCCTACAGTGTACCAGGCACTGGTGTAAAAATGCAATGCCAACATGTCCTAATACTCAGGAGACTACAATCTAATGGTGAGGGAGACTCTAGTTAATCAATAATTATAATGTTTTAATGAAAGAGATATCTGAGTCAGGGCAGTCAGGTAAAGCTGTTTCAAGGGAGTGACACTGAGCTAAATTTCAAAGGATGAGCACAAGTGTGAAGAAGCCAAAGAGGGAGGTAATAGAGAATTTGTCTCAGTTTGGGTTTCCCTGAATGCAGAGCCTGCAATAAGGACTTAGAGGCAGGTAGTTAATTTACAGCGTGAGCCCCAGAAACTGGAGTGAGAGAGTGTGAGACAGAGAAAGAAAGACAAAGTCAAAGTACATTGAGCTTATTGCCAACTGTGGACCACTGGGACTTGATTCCACTGGGGACTGTGGGAGGAATGTAGGTACTGTAGGATTATCTCTCCTCCCAAGGACAAGTTGGGGGGGGTCTGTCCATTATCTCCTATCTTTATTGGGATACAGGATGTGTGTGTGTGAAGGCTGGGGTGGTGTGTAAAGAACTGACTGTCTGGTTCTCCTCTTTCTTTGTGGCCAGTGACAAATGGGGTGCAGTTGAGGGAGTTTTTTAAATCGTGTATTATTTTCTAAATGTTCTTCATTTCATGTGAGAGTTGAGGCTTGCTTAAATTTTCCTCAATCCAGCTCATGATTCCTTGCAATTTGAACAGATTATTTCCACAGTCTGATCTCAATGTTAAGTGTTGTGAGTGCTCATTTGTTTCCATGTTCTGTGTTTTAGTGAAAAGTTAATAGTGTCAACAAGGACCGTTCTCTTTATGGCATTTGGAACCTCTGTATAATATAAGTTTACCATCCATACTTTCTCATGTGAAAAGAAGTATAATATCATCTTAAATAGGAACATCTGTGGAAATCAACTTTTGCTTGATAAAAACCTTTCTAGAACTGCTTGGGTTTTGTTATTCCTCATGTTTATGAGTGCAAGAAACTAATCAGAAGAATTATATTAATTTATTCATGATCAGTAAGCAATAGAGACCATACCCAGTCTCATAATTATAATTTTAAAAAGAACACTATGCACTAATACAAGAAAAAATGTGGATAGAAAAATGATTTAATAATTTAAAAGCAAAATATAAAATTTAGGAATATAATTTATCAATAAAATATTATTTTCTCATAATATCCTCTCAAATCATATAATCAAGTTAGAATAGCTTTCCTCATAATAATTTGTAATAGAGACTATTCTCTTGCATAAGTAAAATGAATTTTAGTATAAGAGAGATAAAATCATTGCTGGAAATATTAATCAAATGTTAACCTACTTTTTATTCTTTATATTTTCCAGATTCTATTTTTGAAATGACTTATAGTACTTCCTCTAAACATTACAATTTATGATTTTTTATTATTTTAAATTTGGCATGCTGAGATTACTTTTTTAGCAGATTCAACCTTTTGCTAACTTCAAGATGAAAAAGGGCTTAGTTGTAAACAGCTACTATGAGATTTAAGAGCTTTCTTAACAGCACTAACAAGAAAGAATACTACAAATAATGACTAGCATGTATTTTATAGTCCACATTTAGTTCTTTTTTTCCCTTGGAACTTTGGAGTAAACAACCGTTCTTTGTGGGTAACATGGTCTTAAATAATTAAAAAGTATTTTTAGGGTAAAAACCTTTTACTTCATTTGAGAATTTATATCTTATGGAATTAGGTTTTAAGGCTGTGGGTGCTCAGATACAATTATTTATCAATAAGGCACCTTATAAATGCACATTATGACACCATAAAGAATAGACATGCAAGTATTGTCATGTCTGCTCTAAAAGTAGAGCTAGTGAATTACAGATTATAATTAGAATGAGGGACTAAATGAAATTTGGGCCATGTGCAGGGCTTCCTGAAATACATGGCTGCCAAATGCTTATGGTCACATTTTAAATATTTACTTAAATCCAAGGGGCCAATCACTTTTTATACCCAGTCTTCAGGACCACCTGTCCCAAGCTACAGTCAGCATGCTATTAACTACTGTTGTTTCCATGATCACTAATAGCATCCATTTCTCTTACTGTACAGTATTTCAACATGATTATAGGAACATTAGAATTTTAAACTTGGAAAGAACTTCTAAAATTATATGTGTGGAGTGCTTTTCCATTTCAAAATCAGTTAGGTATATGGAACACTCACATAAATGGTTAGTAACTGGTTCTCTAGGGGAAAAAAAGCTCTGATTTAAAACTTTTGACAATCTTTGTGGTGTAAAAATTCCCACCATTTCAGGCTTCCAACATTACTTCACAGAATGTGGCATTGTTTTTATAGTATTTCTACCACACAGATATGTGTAAATAAATTTGACAAGTCTAGATAATAGAAATACGTAGTAAAATAATTAGGAAGTAATGAATTTTGAATATTTGTAGCCATTGTTTTTAATGTAATTTGCTTAATTGTAGGTTTGTATAATTTAATTTTTATTGTTGGCTGTGTTTCGAAAAAGGCTTGCCAAGTTCCTAAAATTTAACAGTCGGTTCCCATGAGCTGGTACAAGCCAGCTTCAGTAAACTACTGGGCTGTAGAGATATTATAGCAGATATACAGATGAGGAAACTGGAGCTCAAAAGGAAGAAAGGAAATTAAAATGTATTGACCACTTATTTGAAGCCATGCAGGATGTTGTACAAATGTCATAACTCATACAAGCCTCAAAAAACTTTGTGAAATAAGAAGTATTATTCCAGTTTTACAGATGTAAAAACAGAATTTTCCAAGAGTCATAGTGCTATTAGGTGACAAAATCAAAATTAGAACCCAGATTCCTGGCTCACAGGATTCTTGCTTTTGTTTGCTCTAATGTATCTTGCCCTCTAATTTCCATATAAGTCATGTGAGAACACCAGAGATGATCATGTCACACATGGCGAGATACAGCAATGGGCCCTGTGCCTTTTAAGACACTATTTTTTAGTTGTGAATATGGCTATGGATTTTTAAAATTACAATATCTAAACAGTGGGTAATTATAACTGTGTTACTCTGATTTCAGAGATAAACTGGCTTTAGATTTTTAGTAATTAGAAAGCTTAGCTAAAAATAAGCATGAACAGGAAAAATAGAAGTATATATACATATATATACTACATATTACTGTTATCTAGGCTTTTCAAGTAGGATTGATATTGTCAGCATTCTCAATGTAGTATAGAAGTTATCATATTGAGTAGTAAAATACAGTGATGGGTGAAGAACATAAAACTTCAAAGATTACAAGTGATTTTCAAGAACTCAGTACTGTTAGGACCAATGGCTCAATACAGATGAGACAGAAGAGAGAGATGTTCAATAAACAGTGTCTAAGGTGAATCTTTTATTCATAATAAATAACTTGCTACCTTTGTTTTAGTATGATGCTTTTAGTCAGATATCAGCAACAAATAGAAATCAACATAGAACAAGCTAATCTCCATCATGAAGTTCTTTGCAATCACTTTGAAGATTAATGTAATGTGATATTATTATACACTATTATACAAAAAAGACCAGTGCAAATGTTGTAAGAGAAAAAGATATTAAATAGCCATAAAAGATTTTAATTATAATTAAGGCACCTTGTAAGGAGAATAAAAATGGATTTAAAAGTGAAAGATCTATCTTTTTGAAAGTCTCATTTTAAGTATATTGTTAATTCAAGTTAATTTTTAAAAATGTTTTTAAGCCGTATAAGGTTTGTGAGAAATTTCTGTTCCAATATTATGGTATTCACAAATAAATATTGGAGATTATATATATATGTGTGTGTGTGTATATATATTTAAAACAGGTACTGTGCATCTTTCTTAGTATGATTAAAATAAGAGTTCAGAACCATTGGGTCCAGAACCAAATCTTGTCTCTTTGTTTCGTCAATAGGAACTGCACTCATTTCAAGACTGAAAAGTACTTTAAATTTGGAATGTTGAAGGTACCTTGGTAATGTACATTTTTGCATTTCTTTTATGCTCTCCTGTCTTCTAAGTGTTTTAACTTCCATCAATGAAATTTCTTCGTTCCAAATTATATCACCAAAAATGACATTTGGAACAAACATCAAATTTAAACAGATTTCATTGCTTCTTGTCCACGCTTTTCTTGGAAACCACAGAGAGAATGACCTTTGGGTGATCCACTAGTTGTTTCTAAATGGGAAGCTCCCTGCTTTTCCCCAAGGCACCAGCAGCTCTTTCACACATTGCCACTAGCAATGAACAGTCTCAGAAGTTCTCGAAAGATGGTTTTGTCACTTGTCTTACCTCTCTTCCTGTTGACTTGAAGCCTGACAAACAGTGATAAGTAAGAGTGACAAATGGCCATTACTTACTCTCCTAGAGATCTCCCATAAGGAAAAAGCCTGAATGTGGAGCTGGACATGCCTCCATTACACTCCCAACTTGAAGAAAACAGAACCCAATACAACTAAAATTGTCTAATTAAATTATTTGCAAGTAAGTAAGTTAGTAAAGGAAGGCACTCATGCCCAAAAGAATGTGAAAACAAGAACATAGAGTTAGAGTTTACCTCATCAACTTATCTTAATGTGTTTCTAGTATCTTTATGCAGGCATTTTTGTTTCAGTAATAATTTATGCTAATAGTATCTAATATGTAAACAACTTAGTTTATTCTAACAGTGCTTCTAATTGTTCTATATTGTGGAATTATTATAAGGCAGACTCATTGCATATCTTATCCAAGGACAGTTATTATTGGAAGTGCAAGAAAACCTAATTAAAACATTTTAATACTTCAACACAGTCATCCATTACCAATCTGTGACACTGCGTGGATTAGATGTATATTGTATGCTTTACACAGTAGTGTCCCCTTATCCACTGGGAACACATTCCAAGACCCCCAGTGGATGCCTGAAACCTCAGATAGTACCAAACCCTATATATAATATGTTTTTTTCCTATATATGCATACCTATGATAATGTTTATTAATTAGGCACCATAATAGAGTAACAGCAATAACTAGAACAATTATTACAAAATGCCAGCATCACTACTCTTGCATGTTTGTGCCATTATTAAGTAAAATAAAGGTAACTCGAACACAAACATGTAAGCACTACCATACCACAACAATGGATCTGATAACTGATGTGGCTATTAAGTGACTAATGGACAGGCAGTGTATACAATGTAAATACAGTGGAAAAAAGGATGATTCACAGGATGGAGCAAGATGGCACAAGATTTCATCAGGCTGCTCAGAATAAGATGCAATTTAAAACTTATGAATTGTTTATTTTTGGAATTTTCCATTTAATATTTTCAGGCCAAGGTTGACCATGGGTAACTGAGCAGAAAATGAAACTGAAGATAAGAGGGGACTACTGTACTGTTGCACCTCAGTGTTAACCATTAATTCTCTTTTGGCTCCAAGATTCAGAAATCTAGGCCAGGATAGTTAAGATCTGAGTTATTGTCTGGTGATTCAGCCAAAAATCATCAAAGAAGTTTCCTCCCCAAATTCCTTGCCTTGCTTCATTATCTGTCCTCTGTGTTATTCTTAACACTATTAAAATATAATAGAGACCAGGAAAAAATTTATCTCTCTCTTGCTAACCATGTCTCATATATTTGTCTGAGTGTATAAGCATTATAATTATAGACACTTCCAAAGAACATAGAGATAAAAGGAGACATCTAAATCAATGTCCAGAATGCCAGAACTATTATTACTTAATATGAGACAGAGAAGCAGGTTATAGTTTTGAATATTTGTCTTAGGATTAGGAAAATGTAAAAGAAACCTCTTGCGTTTGGCGTATAAGAAGAGACAGCAGCAAATTGTTCTGTGAAAGAGACATAAATGAGAGTATAGGGAAAGGCTGATAGCAGGACCTGGAATCATACTACACTGGGTTCAAGTCCCTGCTCCACCTTTTTCTAGTGTGTCTGTATCACCTTGGGTGAGCTACTTAACGCTCTATGTCTTAGTTTCCTCATCTTTAAATGACATGGATCCACCATTGTGTATCATACAGAATACCTGCACTGTCCTAAAAATCCTCTGAGTTCTGCCTGTAGATTCCTTCTCCCAACCACTGACAACCACTTATCATTTGACTATTTTGACTGTTTTTACTTTAGATTTAAGATGATGTATTCATCATTTGTTTGGATTTTTAAAAGGTTTTGACTTGTTTCTTTTTGCTTCAGGAAAAATCAGCATAATAACAGTCTTAGTTTATTTTGATTTGTTGTAGCAGAATACCTGATACTGGGTAATTTATAAAGAAAAAAGATTTCTTTAGTTCACAGTTCTGCAGGCAGAGAAGTTCAAGAGCATGGCCCTGACATCTGGTGAGGGCTTTCCAGATGCATCGCAACATGGTGAAGGTCACAGGGGAAACCGACACATTTGAAGAGACAAAACCCAAGGAGCATCCTGACTTTCTAACAGCCCAGTCTTACAGGAACTAATCCAGTCCCATGAGACCTAATCCAGTCTTGCCAGAACAAGAACTCACTGCTGCAAGATTGGCACCAAGCCATTTATGAGAGATCCACCCCCAAGACTAAAACAACCTCCCCCTATGCCCTACCTCCCGACACTGCCACTTTGGGGATCAAATTTCAACATGAGTTTTGATGGGAACAAACACAATATATCTAAATCACAGCAATAACAATAGTAACAGCACACCTAACATTTACTGAGTGATTGCAATATGCCAGGGACTGTCCTGAGAACTTTACATGTATTGACACATTTCATTGTCAGAACAATTATGCAATTAGACACTAAAGTTAGCTCCATATTATAGATGAAGATATAGAGAGAAATTTGATGACTTAGTCAAGTTCACACAACAAGCAAGTGCTAAAGCCAAGTTTTGAACCCAGGCAGTCTGTCTTCAACCATCATTATCTGATGAAATCAAAGCTTTTAAGCTTCATAAATCATATATGAATTATTTACATAGTATAGAGCTAGCATTCCAGTTCAGTGAATGATTATTCAAGTATTACTTTAAAAACAATTTTCCCTTGAGGAAGTATAATCACAAATAAAATGTTCCTGAGAATTCAGAAAAAAAAAAAAGTATGTTCTTTGGTTCTTGTGTCAGTCATGGAGACAGAAGCCCCACTATGTATTTTAAACAGAAGTTACTTAATACAGCAAATTGGTTACAAAATGTTGGAAAGGCTGGAGATGCAAAAAAGAAGGTGATGCAGTTACCAGGGATTGATGGCAATATGAAGTCACTACCACATAAGCTTGAGAGTAAAGGGAAGAATGCTGTTAGTCAGAGCCCACACTCACTGTAACTAGGGCTACTGGAGTATCCACCCATGCTGCGGGGCATTTGGGACCACAGCAGCTACTACCTTGCAGAAAGCTAGGAGTCAAGAAACTCACAGTTACCTGTGCCCACCACAGCTGTTTTTGGAACCAGATCCAAGGCTGCCAGAGTTTGCACTGCTTCCGTCATCTCTGAAACCATGCTTCTAGAGCAAGAAGCCTGGACCTCACACATACCTACTGCTGTTGTTACTGCCTAGAACAAGGTCAGAAACAGAGAAGGAAAATAAAAGTGGCTCATCCCTTTGTGCCACCTTACATCTCCTGCCATTGCCTCCCATTGACAAGACTACTCTGCAGACACCTGACAAGGGAATCTGAGCAATAGACGTGGCAGAACTCCAGCCCCTAGTAATGCAGAGAACATCGGAGCCAACAGGCAACTTTCTGTTATAGCACTTTGTTTGTTTTAGAAACAACAGAAACCATTTAAAAATAAACATATATTGATGAACTTATTACTCAAGAGAACAGCCAGGGTTATTAGTTGCCAACACTGGGTCCCACCATATTTAAGCAGGAAAGTCAGTCATTAAAGGATATGCTGGATAATCCACAGAGATCACAGAGTCTGGGGAGTCGGGCAATGAGGGTACCCAGCCAGATAAAATGCCTGGACTGTACCCCAGGGCTGCTTCAGCAAAAGCACTATTGCCACCTCTGGGCACAGACGCCATGCTGTGTATGGCTAACACTGGGCATTAACCACCAGAATCTCCACTGTCCATTCTCATCAAAAAATGGATTCTACACAATGCCTGCATCTTCACTTTGCTCTCTTTAGAATCAAAGTCTTGCACTATGTGTTTATCACATGCCTATCTGCAAGAGCGGTGAGAGAAAACAAGTTTCTGGCATCTACCTTGGGAACATGGTCCTCGTAGTGTCATTCAATCCTGGGGATAAACCAATGTTTGCAAATTACCTGACATAATGACCATGTAGCCGTTAACTTTTGTTTGATATACATGCTACACGCCAGCTACAATTATAATCATTTTACAGATATTCATAGTGCTCTATGAGGTAGCTACTGTTATCATTTCTGTTTTGCAAATGAGGAAGCAGAACACAAAGGGATCTTTTTAATGAGCTCATGGTCCCATAGCTACAAACTGCCAGACCCAGGATCTGAACTTAGGTTTCCTGGCTTCTAAGTTAGCTCTTAGCCACTCACCTGTACTGTACACGATAAATGTTCAGTAAACAGTAGCTACTTCTGTTCATCTTTTTTTTTTCCTGGCACTTGTGACATAAAGAGGGGAGAAGTCAGAGGATGGTGGAGAGGTCCTCAGAGGCCAGGTCATTAAGGAGCTTGGAATCATATTGAGGAGTAAGGATTTTATTCTAAGGGTGATCAGTTCCCCATCCAACAGCATATTCACACCCCCTGAGCTGGAGCATTGGCAGTAGAAGTCAGATCTGTGACTAAGTGACAGTTAAGAGTGCAAAGAGGGAGAGGAGAAGGGGAACAAATGTAGAATTCTTCTTGTTGTTGCTATTGTTTGGTTCTAAAACATTTTTTTTAACATGAGTAGAAAGAAGAGTCCAGGAAGCAGGCTCAAAAAGACTGGTCAGAGAGCTAAGAGGAGAAACAAAGGATATTATTATTCTAGATTCCAGGAGCTATCATTTGAAGAGGGTGAGAGTGGTCAGGAGTCTCAGCTACTGCAGGGAGGTCAAGGAAGAGAATGAGAAACTGATCTTTAAATTGAGAAACGTGGAGATTATTGAAATTATCTTAACAATAGTAATTTCAATAGGATAGTTAAAGTAGATGCAAATTGCAAAAGACTGAGGGATTAACAGCAGAATGTGGAGATAGAAAGCACAAACAACTTTTACAGGATGGGCGATTGAGAGGGGAAAGAGTAAGAACATATCAAGGGTAGCTTCTTTTTTATGGGAGAAACTTGAAAATGAAGGAAGCTGGTGGGAGGATCCAGTTGAGAGAAAATTGATGATGTAGACAAGAGAAGAGATAATGACAACAGAGAGACCTTGAGTAACTGGGAGAAGAATAGATGGAGGGACCAGTCTTAGGTAGTAGTTTCTTTCTGCAGGACATGAGGAAAAAATGGCGCAGTTATAGACACGTCTGTCTCTGTGGGGAAAGGAGTGTGAGAAAGTCCTCTCCAGAAAGACACCATTTTTTTCCCCATGAAATATGAGAAATATCATCTGCTGAGGCAGAAGAGTTTCAGGATGGGGTATGGTGTCTAGGGAGAGTGATGGAGGTTAGGAACAGCCACTGAAGGGAATGGGAAAGACAGCTAACCAAAGGGTGGCTCAGTGGCCCAGGGAGCTCAGCTGAGGTGAGAGACAGTATATTTTCAGCATGATTTTCTGTATTAGTTTGCAAGAGTCTGGCCATAGGATCATAGAGACTGGGCATAGGAGCATAGATCTGAGAAGGGTCCTCCATTAGCAGGGCGGGAGCAGAGGCATTGATTCTGAGAAGAGATGTGCTGAAATAATGTGCCATCAAGCCTAGGCTGTATCAGAAGAAACTTGGAGAGAGAGGTGGCCCAGGCTGGTGTAGGGGAATGGAGGATGACCTGTGATCACGGCACATTGGCAACTTTCATGAATTCAAAGATAAAATATGTCAGGAGCAATGGAGTGAGATTTTTGGAAGGATAAGGACTATGATCATAGCAGGATATTGAAGCTGTTTCAGGTGATGATTCCTTAGGGTAGGAACCTGGGAGTGGATCAAGGCAAAGGCTGCTGGAGAAAAACTCAGAGTTGAGAGATTTCAAGAATATTTAGAGCTGTAACTTAAGAAACAAAAATTACTTTTTAAGTGAAATGTTTTACTTACCTAGAGTCAGGAGGGTTTTTTTCCTTCCCACAACTCAGCTGAAATGATGATGCGATTACTTTAGTGAATATCTCAATTATCAACTTAGACCTGTTAGGTGTTCTTTAATAGCAATGTTGCTATGCAGAAATGTTCTTGATTGTCCTACATAAGGCAGGCTAACTCATAAAACAAATAAACCCAAAAATGTATCACGGCCTAACCGTGAGAGAAGAAATGGTATAGACTATGCTTCAGCCTAAGAACCAGGCAGATATTTGATTGAATCTATAAAAAAATTTTTTTAAACAGGATGGGATTAAATAAGATATGGATATATTATACTTGGCTGCTTTCCCTTTGCTTTTTTTTTTTTTTTTTTTTTAGTTTTGGTTACCAGCAAAGCGTCGCCAAAAGATATCCATACTTAGAAATGCATGTAGGATCACTCAATGATGTGCTAAACACTCGTCAAAAGCAGAGATAAAGGATTTTGGCCAAGGACAGATAACAGAGGATGGATGGCCTAAAGAGAGGAGAGAAAAGAAGAGGACACTACTGTCTGCCTGAAACAGGAGTGGCTGCTGACCCCAAGATCAACAGCACCAAAGTGGAACACATTGTCTTCCTCTCGGAACAAACGCCTCTGCCTTCCAACTTCTTTATTTCTGTCACTGCCCCCACCCCACCCCCCAGCCCAGTCTTCTAGTTTGCTGGATGTAGACACTGGAAGTTACTGTGTGTTTCTCACACTCTCCTAAGTCCTGCAGACATCTCATAAGTCATCAGAAGCCTCTCGATTAATCCTTCATCACATCTCCAGCAGCCTGAAGAATGCTTTGTCAGGCTCATGACACTCTGCTGCTGGAGGAGCAGCAGTAGGAGGGGTTGTGGGGCCATTCTTCCTTAGCCATCCTACCTGGTGGGTGACTCTGGGTTTTCTTGCAGGTGGTTGGGATTGCCCTAGGAGTGCTTCTGTGGATTGGGTGATGAGACTCTACTCTTCCAAGACTCTGCACCCCTCCAACCCTGGGATAAGATTCTATTAAGTGCAGTGCAACTACATGCCATTTTTAAAAGGCAAAGCAGAAATACAGGGCTCCGCTTTATAGATTAAAAGCTTACAGGAACTGTATGGCATTGATTTTTTAAAACCACACACACATATGCACACACACAAATGTGCACATTTACACATGCAAACTTTTTTGAAAATTCTCATGTGTGAGTGTATTTAATTCTGCCTTATAGTGAAATTACAACACCAAAGAGGCACCCTTTAATTAGCAACATTCTTATACAGAGATATTAATGGTTATGCTAGCTAGGGTAGGCTAATTGGTGAAACATATAAACCCCCAAATATATAATGAAACAAAAAAAGAGGGCAATTTCTTGCTCGTATAAGGTCTAAAATGGGTTTTTCTCATTGATAGCTGGCTCTCTTTTCAGAAGGAATTCAGATCCTTTCATCTGTGGCTCTTCAACATGTAGCTTCAAAGGTCTGCTTCAAGCCAGTGAAAAGAAAACACATATGAAGAATAGATTGCACATGCAAGACTTTTCCAGGCCTGGAAGTGGTACTTATGACTTTCACTCACATCCCAACAGCCAGAACTCAGTTATATGGGAAATGTAATCTAACTGTGTGTCCATGAAGAACAGGACATCTGGGAAGCAATTACCAGTTTTTTCTACAGTGGTATAGCAACTGGGTCAGTGTGGAGAATTTACAGGGCATCAAGGAAGAACCACTCTTCTGTACCCAACATGGTGGTGGAGGTACACTAGAGACTCTTGGTAGAGGAATCGGTGAGACCTACAAGTGAACAGGAAGCCAGTGCTTACATTTAGGGGGAAATATTTGAAATTCTAATAAAGTTTTTTCAACTTCTAAAATATAATGAAAGGAATTTTCTTAAATGAACACACTCTTCAATAATACAAAGTTGGCAAATTGGCAGGTTGAGATGTAGGCAGTAGCAATGTGAACTAGTTGGAAGTAGGCAAGAAGCCCAGACTAGAAAAACAAAGCCCAGGCAAAAATCCAAGAATGCCAGGGCAATACCAGCATGAGAAATCAGATAAGTGAATAGAAACCAGGAAGCCATAGAAATTTTGGAGCAGAGTAAAATTAAAGTTACAGAACCCGGATGTGAGACCTGGCCCTACTATTTACAAATGGACACAAGAGAACCCACTTAACTTTCTCTGAGTTTGTTTATTCATGTGTAGATTTGGAGTAGTCATATCTACCTCATAATAACTGGAGAATCAAATGAGATGATGCAATGAAAACTCATGTACCCTGGCAAAAGGAGAAAAAGGGCTGATTTTAAGTGTTTCTGTTTTTATAAACTTAGGGTTAAGGAGGGCACAGTGCTATTTAGGAAGAAGAAGATTTGAAACCTCTTTTTTTGACAGATAAATCCCTGGTCCTGAACTGGCAGAAAAGGTTGAGAAGAACTACCTTGTGTAAACTCTATCTTCATGGGGAAAACTTGCAGATTCAGTTTCCTTTATAAAAGTCCATTCTTCCTGGCTTCCTGCATGCCTTTCTCCCTCACTCCTTTCTCTCTGCTTTTGCTTCCTCTTTTTTCTTCTCTCCTTTATTTTTCCTCTGTTTTTTTCCTCCATCTGGTTTCTTTGTTAGGTGAGCCTGGACAGTGAGGAGAGTGTAACCAATTTCCTGTATAAGGATTCTAGACAGGAGCTTGCTAAGGTTGGGTTTTAAGGGTTCAATCAATAATAGAAACAAAAAGGATGTGCTGCTGGCAAATGTGTTATTTGATGTAACTCTTTAGGGGAAAAGCTGGCAATGTACACTCTTAAGTTGATCGTTCTCTTTGACCTGCAAGAATTTTTCATGGTATCCAGCATAAGGAAATAATCAGAAAAAATAGAAGCCTTATGAATAAAGATGTTCATCATAGTTTTACTTATAGCAATAAAAAGTTTGAAACAGGCTAAATGCTCAAAGGAAGACAAATGGTAAATTCAACTATGTTATATTAACACAATAAAATATGTAATTATGTTTTGAAACACCTTGGTAAAATGGAGAGTATCATGATAAAATAGCAAATGAAATTAGCAGATTGCAGAATGATCACAACCAGGCCAAAGGTGGAAATGAATCATAATGACATCAGTTGCTGTTCATGAGTGGATAAATATACTTTTTTCTTCTTTCTACTTTTCCATATTTTCTATATTTTATAATGTACCTATATTATTCTTATATTTGAAAACATAAAGTGAGTTCTAGTTTCTGCAAAAGTTATTGATACTAATTTTTCTCATCTTAGCCGTGTGCTGGTGTAACTAATAGCAAAACGAGTTCACTTTGTGCACCATAATGTAAAGTGGACTTTTTAGAAGTGAATACAAATGTCTATATAGATATATCGGTACCAGATACATATACATGTATGAGTTTTAGCATTAGAAATTCCACACTCATAAGTCACAGTTTTGCTTTATAGGATTTAATTGGCAAGAAGGAAACAAATATAAATTGGTACAAAATTTTCAGTCTGTCATTAGAATAGCATAGATTCCATGGCCTGACTTAAAGCATTTGCCTGTATCACAAGGATTCTGTTGGAATCAGAGTTGGAGTGAACTTTTCTCTGAGATGATTTGATGATTCTTTTTAACTCTGTCCTCTATATCCATGGAAGCTGTGCCTCCTTGTAAAAATATGGTGATGGGGACTACAAGTAATGAAAATATTTAGATAATCGCTTATAAGCATTGACAAACAATATCAAAGGCCGTTACCCCATAGACCTTCCTGAGAGTGGCTGGGTCCATTGCAGTACACAATGGGAGATGAAAGAACTTAATGTATGTAGCCATATTCAAAAGTCCATCTAATTTGAAAAATGTTGATTTAGATCACTCGAAAGTTCCAAGGAAGACTTAAATGCATTGAGTAGTCACTGTGAGTTGAGAAGAAGTAAATAGATTATCAGGCAAACAGGTCATCAACAGCTAGTCCAGAAATTCAAAAAGGACTCCTGACAATGTTCTGGAAGAATCATGTGGTATTATACCACTAAAAGGATAGGGAAAGATGGCTGAAGTAGAGCAAAATATTGTTTTCTTTATTAAACAAAAAATTGTATGAACCATAAAAGGGATATGGAGAGTTCCAATTTCAATATGTACAGCTTTATTTGGATTCATTGAAAGGTGTAGTACCTCCTACAACCAGGTAAAATTGCATTCAATATTAAAATTACAGTACAGTAAACCATAAAATTTACCCATGAGACTGAAAATGACAGATCTAGAATAAGTAAGGAAAATATACCACAGCTGACAGAGAAAATATATGACTTGAATGTGAATTTCCTGCCTATGCAAAAGAAGGTTTACTCTGAGTCCAGGAAGCATCATGGTCTATTTATGATAATAGAAATTTGTAGGCATCTGGCTTCAGGTGAACCTCTCTGATATTTGGCATCAATATTAGTCCAGGCACAAAGCTGTATTTTATTTTCTTGCAGGGCTTTCATGATGAAATGGAAAATATTGATTTATGATCACCCCACCATAGATCAGTCCAAACACATGGATTTTGTGCTTTGTTTTATTTAAAGGGCCCGATCAGAGATTGCTGTTTTGCTTTATATTCAAAGCTTCAGGTCAGTGTTTCCCAATGTCAGTGTACATAAGAATTCCTTGGAGCATTTATTAAAAAGGCAAATTCAAGAGCAATTCAAAACTAATATTTCACAAAGAAAATCAGAATAGTGATTATGACTGGGAGGGACATGAAGAAACTTTCTGAAATATGTAAAATGCAATACTTTACTACATGTGTTTTATTTCATAGTTATAATTTTTAACAAAAACGAATACAATTTTAAAATACAAACTGTTGGGCTAGGCCATAGGGGAAAAAGTGCCACAAGGATTGGGCCTGTTTTAATAAGGTTGGGCCTGTTGTTGACTGGAACAAACTTACCTACCAAACATCAGGCATGAATAACAGAAAAAGGGCGACAGATTTTAACTTGCTTCTAATCTTTATGAAAGCCCCCACTCAAGCCTATTTTTATAGCAAGCAAAATCTCTGCTGTTTTTTTTCCCACAGTGATCTCAGAAACTGTTACCTTGTGAAGGCATCCAAATTAGTCAAATCTTGAAGGTTTTGTCTTTGTATAGCCAATAGACCAATAATTGGGTTGAGTTATAGTTCTCAGAAGTGCATAGTTACTGTCCTCCAGAACTGGCTTTTTAAGATTTCCTTTTATCTCTTGTCCATTTACTTTTTTAAGGTCTGCTGCAAAACCGAAACAGCTCCTGTTCACATTCTAATGGAGAGAACAGTTCAGACTTAACCTCAGCAGAATGGAAGTATTTTCACACCAACTGTTACTTCACTCAGATCTCCTCATGTGGTTCACAGAACTCTTTGGTGGGCCCAGTCACTCCAGGATTTTATTTCTTGCAGACATGAGCTTATTATGTTCAGTCCCTGGAGGATACGGTTTGGGTAATTCTTGCTGGCAACACTCTCCTAAAGCCTGTCATGAATCTCATTGCCCCATCTGCAGAATACACTTCCAGAGGAAAGCCACTAAAGTACTGCAGATGACAAATGGGACATTCTCCTAAGCTAAGTAGAAAAACTACCCATCACCTCCCTCCATTGCTGAATTATACACAGCAGAAATCATGTACAATGTCAAATCGACCTTGATAAATTCTACTTGTTAACCCAGCAGAGCACCTCCAGCAATGAAAAGGGAAGGTAAAGGAGAAAAAGTGACCTCAGAACTAACTTTTTTATGTCTCTCAGATATGAACTCTTTTGCCTTCAGATGTTCAAGTTATTAATTTCTTCCCAGCTTTAACTTGGTTTGGCTCCTAGTCCTAAAATGAAAAGATGACATTTGAGGTTTTGTGCTGGTAGATTAAAAAAAAAAAAAATCCCTCTGCACACAATAAGCACACACATTTTTGAGCAAACTACAACCAGACTTAGATGCCTATGAAATAGGATAGGCTGAATTGAGTCACAAAGTAATGAGTTTTCAGTTGTCTAGCCAAGCTCATGTTTGTCTCCTTATTTGCTTACTCCCTGCCAAAACAGAAACATCAGAGTAACAAAAAGATATCAGAAACTAGCACTGCTTTAAAAGGAGACACTATCTTTAGTTTGCTCATTTATTCAACATATATTTATGGGATGCCTGCCATATGCCAGACATTGTTCCAGGCACTGAGGATACAACAGTCATCAAGAGACCTAAAAAAGTCCTGTTCTCCTACTATATGAAATGTTTTAGGATTCATAATATGAAAATAATAGTAATGATGATGAGATGAGCGATATGATACACAGTAGAATAAATATGTCATTTTTTTTTTTTTTTTTAAGACGGAGTCTTGCTCTGTCACCCAGGTGGCAGTGCAGTGGCAGGATCTCGAATCACTGCAAGCTCCACCCTGCTGGATTCAAGCGATTGTCCTGCCTCAGCCTCCCAAGTAGCTGGGATTACAAGTGCATGCCACCGCACCCAGCTAATTTTTTGTATTTTTAGTAGAGACAGGATTCACTATGTTGGCCAGGCTGGTTTCGAACTCCTGACCTCAAGTAATTCACCTGCTTGTCCTCCCAAAGTGCTGTGATTACAGGCATAAGCCACTGTGCCCGGCCAAGTTTCTTTCTTTTTAAGGCTGGATAGTATTCCATTGATGTATGTATCACATTTTGCTTATCCATTTATCTGCCAACGGACACCTGGGTTGCTTCCACATTTTAACTTTTATGAATAATGCTGTTATGAACATGGAAGTACAAATCTATCTTCAAGAACCTGTTTTGAATTCTTTTGGTTATATATCTAGAAGTAGAATTGCTGGATCATATGGTAATTCTATTTTTAAGTTTTTGAGGAACCACCATATGATTTTCCACAGAGGCCATACCATTTTACATTCCTGCCAGTAGTACACCAGTGTTCTAATTTTTCCACATCCTTGGCAACACTTGTTATTTTCGGGTTTTTTTGATAGCCATCCTAATGGATAGTAAGTGATATCTCGTTGTAGTCAAACTGTGTTTTTATTATTACTGTAAATGTTAGAAGAAAATAGAGGTGACTTGTTTTAGTTTAATTTAATTTATTTAGGAGACTGGATCTTGCTCTGTCACCCAGACTGGAGTGCAGTGGCATGAGCATAGCTCACTGCAGCCTCAAACTCCTGGGCTTGAGAGTTCTTCTTGCCTCAGCCTCCTGAGTAGCTGGGATTACAGGTACAAGCCATCACATCTGGCCTGGAGGTGTCTGCTAAACACATGAGGCTAAATGAATATGGATGCAGATCTATGGTATGTAATCACCTGTAAACACCTGTAGCTTTCACCAGTCCTTCACCAGGAGTACCTACTGAACTTTCTCAAACCCTTCAGGTAAGTCAACCAAAACTTAGTGATCTGGAGTCCCTTTCCTTCATGATACCCACTTACCAGCTCAGGGTCCAGACAGAATCCTTTTCTTGTTCTTGTCACCCCAACAACAGACACAACATTTTACTGTCTAGAGCACAATTTTCTCCGTACATAAGATTATTACGGAAGAGAACAATAGGAATGCAATTTGTAAAATGGGAATTTTAGGCCCAAGTAGTTAACTCACTACTTAGCTTCCAGGCTCTAAGTGGGTGGCAAAATAGGCAATTTTCAGCCTCCTGAGCTCCCCACAATAAGTCAAACTTTTTATATGTCAACAGCTTCTTACCTTGAACTGTGTAATTATATCAAATCCATTTCACTTCTTACTGTCACCATTCTTCACTTATCTTTAGGAAATGACTCAAGGTACCCATCATGAATTACCTTGTGACCATCAATGTACTCCTATTGATACAAAGATAAATGACAATAATTTTCTAAAATAAAGTCTGTTGGCAAATCTAAATCTCTTTCACTTAGGACCAACTGTCTTTTTACAGTATATTTACTGTACAAGCATGCACATGAACAATGACTTCCTAAGGCTTTTAAATTAAATGAGAACAACATTTAAAATTCAATTCCTCAGTCACACTGTATTTCAAGTGTTCAATATCCACATGTAGCTATTGGTTGCCATAGGTATGGAAATGTTTCCATCATCACAGAAGTTTCTATTTGATAGCATTGTTCTAGGGCATTCATCTTTTTATAATTTATGCAGTTTTAGATAAATTAGAATTGTCTATTTAAATTACATGTTTTAAGGTCAATTTGATGGTATCCAACAAAGTGAGTACCAAGACATTTCTGGGGCAGTTTTTGGGGGATTTGCAGTGCCAATAGAAGAGGTAGAGTAAATCTTAAAGGGCCTTCTTAATGCGTGATATTTTGCTACCAATAAACTCTAACAGTTAATGCACAGTTGTGGGCATCTTTGGATAATCCCTGATCAACTCCACCTGGGACTATTCTCTAGTTTCTTAGTAGCTGAGGCAAAGAGGTAGACATAGTGCCTGAGAGGGTGGTAGCTACAAAAGTATATATCTGAATCAAAAAGTAAATAAAAGAGTTACATGATCCCATAACAATGGGACAGTGCATAAGGAACTGAAATTGTTTACTGATGATGTGTTATTGTCTTTGATTCTTATTCTGAATGGTAGGACCAGGGACATTTAATAAATTTAAACAGAAACCTATGTTGATTTCTTGACAAATGATTTGGTACATAATATTTTTCCTTTTATAAACTTTTCTGTTAGTAACCTGAACATAGCTAAAAAATTCAAATAGCATCAAAATCCTTATAATGACAAAATAATAATCTCAGGTTCCACGCCCTCTGACTCTCCAGCCCAGTTTCCTGGAGACAACTACCTAGAGCTTTTTAATTTGCTACTTTTGGCAGTTATTCCCAAATCCCCAAATAATATGCGATTTGGCCATTCTTTTTATTTATCCATTTTAGACATCATTCATTAACTTTCTTATTATGTTAGATGATTTTGTTATATGGAGGCAATAACTACTGTTATATCTCAAAGGATGCTAATGGGTATGTTTTCTCAGATGCTAATGGGTGTGTTTTCTCTTTTGAAATTTCTTTTCTGTTCTGTGAACTATTTTTTCCTGGGCCTTTTTAGTCTTTTTTAAAAAAGTTTTCTTTTATTTGTTTGTTTTCCCCACTGTCTGTTTATGTTAGAGGCTTTTCTCAAATGTCTGAGTTAGGGTTAATTCCTCATATTTACAAGTATCACCAAAACCTATGTGGCTTGCTGACAGTCAGCTTTTGCTTTAGGTGGATCAGACAGAGAGCCAGCTCTTGCATTAGGGGCTGCTTGAATGTCTTGTCTCCAGAGCCACTCAGTTGCTCCAAGGAAAATACATTCAGCCTTCTGCTTGGGAGTGCAATTCCTGATTACAGGTGCTCTCTATATCAGAAGGGTTTGTCCAGTTGTTCCAAATACACACTCAATCAACCCATTATGTCCAGTTCTAGGCTTCACTTCCACGTTTCCACTCTCATTCCTGCTCCACTCTTAAACCTCTCCCAAGTTCTAGGAGGCAAATGTGCTCCTTCTTAGTCATTCTTTTCTACATTTAATAAGGTTTCAGCTTTCTCCTACTTCATCAGATATCATTATTCCTTTTCCTTTCGTCCTCCAGAAACAAAAAGAATAGAAGTTCTTTCTGTTATTGTGGGTTTCTAGAGACTTTTTTTCTTTACTAATATTCCACCCCGTGCCCTACTACTTTTTGTTTGTTTGTTTGTTTGAGGCAGAGTCTCTGCTGCCCAGGCTGGAGTGCAGTGGTGTGATCATAGCTCACCACAGCTTTAAACTCCTGAGCTTAAAGGAATCGTGTCTCAGCCTTCTGAGTAGCTGAGACTACATGCATGCACCACCACACCTGGCTAATTTTTAAATTTTTTGATAGAGATGGGTTGCACAGGCTGCCCTCAAACTCCTGTCCTCAAATGATTCTCCCACCTTGGCCTCCCGAAGTCCCACGGTTACAGGCAAGAACCATCATGTCCAACCTCTTAACTAATATTTAAACATAGTTTCTGGAAAGAGAGGATACTAGTATTTGTGGCCAGCCCACCATCTTTAAAAGTAAGTCAGTGTAATGTTTTCCAATGATAACCATCATATTATGTTAGAAAGTTTGTCTATTTTAAATTTTTCCCCATATTTTAGATTAGAGTTTTCTTTTAGACAGCTAGACATGTTGGAACTACCATGGATTTTAAAGTCAAACAGACTAGTATTATAATCCTGGTTTTACTACTTATTAGCCATATAATATTGGAAAAGTTATCTAATCTCTCTAAACCTTATACTTGTAATAGGAATAATAATATTTATCTTGAAGATGTTTCATGAGAATTAAATGAAACAAGGCCTATAAAGCATATAAAACAGTACCTGGCACATAGTAGGAACTCATTATCTTTATTAAGTTTATTTGTGAGTTGTTTGTTATTACAAACAAATTGCTTTTAACTCAAATATCAAATAATCAGACTCTAGCTTAGATAGCACTTTTTCCAGGAAGCCTTCCTGATTTAAGATTTGGATAGAGATGCCGTGTTTGTGCTCCTGCAGCACTCGTCCTTGCCTATTATAACACCTCTCAGTCACACTGTCGTGGAATTGCTTGTTTAATTGTCTTTCCTATTAGATTGTAAATTCCATGTGAATGGGGACCTAGTCTGTATTGTTCATTTGTTATCTCCCATGCCTATCACTATGCTTGGCACAGAGTTGTACTCAATAGATACTTGTCGAATGAACGAACAATACCATTCTACTTTTATAAAAATGGCTATATTAGATTTTTTAAATGTAAAGTGTATTCTGTGCTTTAAGTTTCTTCTGCAAGATGAAATTTCTTATGGTACTATTTAGAAAGATAGTAGAATAATCATCAAACAACCAATATACACAAACTTGGAGGAACAAAAAATTGAGTATCAAAGTGACCCTGTATGAAAGGCAAAATCAGTTAAAGAAATCAACCCCTCTTTCCTCCTCCCTGCCATGACTGAGCACTGAGGCTTTGTAGCTAAAGAAAATGCAACAATTCATTCAGAAATCAGTATCAATTTTGCTTTTGTTACTGCTTCAAAGTCCAGTTTCCACTTAATTGCTCTGAAATCTAAATAATTCCTCAGTCAAAAAACAAATAACAACAACAACAACAAAAAGCCCACCGCAGTCTCTGGATGGTTTCAATTTGGTGGCATTGCCTGAGGCTATAAATAGACCGCTTCTAACCCAACAAATGAGTTTCCATTTCTCTTTTTGGAATGCTTTCTTCCTTAACCCCTTAACCTCACCACTTGGATAGACCTGCCATCATCAACTAAAGGAAGAGTTAGGAGAAATGGGATACTTTTGTGGTTCTTGTCTCTGAAGGAGGAGGGAAGATTCTGCTGATCCTGAATTAACTCCTAAAATACCTAGAAGAATTAACATCTTGGATGT